CTCTCTCTCTCTCTCTGTATATATATATATATATATATATATAAATTATATATCCTGTATCTCATTCTCGCTCTCTCCCTCTTGATTCTCTCTCGTCCCTTGTCTTGCTCTCACCCTCTCCTCATCGTATAGTTATAACATATTCTATGCTCAAGGACACGTTCTTATGGCATTCTTATATTATTATATCTTCGTATTCTATGCTGTAGGACACGTTCTTGTGGCATGAATGGCGGCTCATCCTTACTATGTGATCTAGAGGATCAGAATGGTCCAGGAAACACAGGTGGCGCCGTTAACACTGCAGGAGCTGGACGATGAAGGTGTCTCATTGATTGCTGTTTTAGTGTTCAAATTTCACATTACATATAAAGTTGCACCTTGCCATTTACATTAATTCACAGTTGCCGTCTTGTTATGCTGTCACACTCTACCTACTGCCTTCTTAGATGTGCATTGCAAGTGGCACGTCTATAACTACTGATTTCAACCTACATTTGATCAATGAAACTAAAGTTATGGAAAAGCTCTTTAATCTTTGTTACTTTTTAGAACCTTAAACGTCAATAAAATGTGAATTAAAATCTTCCTTTATTGGGTATCAGCATCTACCATTTAATCATTTTCCATCTGCTAGTGTTACATCTATGTATGCACTTGTCATATCACTTGTGTGCAAGAATAAGGTTAGGTTTCACACACACACAGAAACATGCATATTAAGAATTTTATTCACTTAGTGTGAACATCAGTGTACACAGTGCATACACGTATAATGGCTACTACTGATATGATAATGAAGCTAAAATATGTGCAGCCTTGGTAATGTGGTTGCTGATATATTTACATAATTGAAGTGAATTTACATGAGTGAAGGCATTATACAATGACAACTATATACTAGAAAAAATAATAGGCATGCAAATTATAAACACATTGTAAAATAAATTTCATTTTTCTGTACATTTTATTTTTAATAAAAACTGCTGTATGTTGTTACACATTCCAGCAATTAGGTACATCTGTATTATATACATTCTTGTTATCACTATGTTCTTCCATCTCGGCACAAACGTGTCAAGTAGAATGATTATGTACATGTAACAGACAGTACCTGCCCATCAGCAACCACATCTTGCTCCTGCATGACCTGATGGACAGCAGTATCCTCTAGTAAAACATACAGAGATGTATGTATATAAATGTATACATACCCTTGTATAGAATGCATACATATACATGTATATGGGTCTGTGCATACATATACCTATACAGATAGTATACACGTTGTACATACTATATATACTCTATATAACACTTTGGCTAACAGGTTTTCAATGTATACTTTTATACTGTACAAACAGCAAATATTTAACACTTTGTTGTGATATAAAAATACAAGAGCAAGTATGCAGAGCTTGAAGTTCCCCACTGCATCGTAGCCTACTATCTACATTGTGTGCACTAAAACTAACACTAACAGATTATATATATATATATATATATATATATATTATATATATATATATATATTGAATATAATGTGGCAGCTCATAATTCACATGTACACAAACAATTATACAGGGTGTAGTATATAAACCTGTTATACCCAATTGACACGGCTCCTGATTACATATATATATACTAGGGTGTGCGAGTCTTTGTAGGTGATCATATTTAAACTAATGGGTGCAGGTGGGTGATGCAAATATTTGGGAGGTCACATGCAGTTTAAGGTGAGGTCAGTCAGGTCTGTGAGGTCGTTTGCAAGACTTACACTCGTGAATTTGATTGCTATACTGCAAATACTAATTTAAATGTTTTTACTAGCTGCATTTACTTGCGGTGATGATCAATAATATCAAGAGTCCATAATAGAACATTTTTTATTATGGACTTGATAATATAGCCACATTTCTCCCAGCACTGCAGTCTAGCGTTTGAATATAATTAAAGGTGGGATATCCTCCTTTGCACCTCGAAATTGTTTGGCTACATACCTGACTAGTCTGCATCCCCTAGTATAGTATGTGTACATAATACAGCTCCACAAGGAAGGGGTGCACTTCCCTTGTTTATGTTTGTACCCTGACTGGTGCAGCTGTCTGGCTACAGTTTACACTACTGGGGTACGTACATAAAGTCTACAAGGGTGTGGGACACACGAGTTTTGGGTTGGGAATGAGGATGTACCATTCTGAATGTCAACATGCACATTATGTCTTGCATGCTTTTCACAATGCACGTCAGCACTTATCAGTCATAAATAACAGGGTTAGAAAACCCTAAGCATTGTATAGTTACATTCATCACACTGCCACTCATTTGTGCATGTACTTATATTATGCTGTTTGTAACAATATCAGGTGTATGCAAGTGCCACCTGGTGGTGAATTTAATATTATGGCTAACTAGATATGATACAGCTATATAAATTAAACTATATATGACTGTTCTGTAGGGGGTTACCTGTATCTAGCACAATTACAGTGATGTTGAGAATAAAAACAGTTTGACTCCTGGGTTGAACTTGTCATTACATAGAAGAATGTCCACACAGTTATCATTCCAGCAGTTGAGCTCTGTCATACTGGCCAACTTTCAAAATGATATATATATATATAGAGAAATTGTGCAGTATGTGGACATATATCCCAAGCAAAAAAATTCCTGGCATGGTGCCGAGTATACGTTCAACGAGAAGATTTCTATATATCTCCTGTTTACCTAGTTGATTTATGTCAATCAGTCATTGGCTTACATAAAGCTATATCAAAGAACACACGACCATGCTTTTACAGGTCAGTTGGCAGCACTACACTTTGAAAAATGTGGCAGGGTTACCAATTGTGAAAACAACGCAGTGACACATTTATCTGGAATTTTTTAAAGACGATGACTGCAGCATACCAATGGGTTGCATGGATGATAGTATTTTTCTTACTAGATTTATCTTTACTAATATGAAGAATGATCTCTGAAACTGAATGGGAACAACTAAAGTTTGAACAAAGCCAGAAACCCACGTATCAACATGTGATATAGTTATGGCCATTACAGGCATTGACATCTCGAGCAGTTGATACATTGGTGGGCTCTGTGGAAGCAATATTTGTTTTTTTTTCTTTAATCTTAACACAAACACAGTGAACAGTGGTCATACTATATGCTTTTTCAGAAGTGACAACTAACTGAGTAGGGAGCCGAATTGCGACTTGTTGGTATGACAACGAATCAACTGGTTCTAAACACTTGCCAGACTTGCATACTTTTACCGCGCGAAGCGGCGTTGTGATTTGTTCCAGATTGTAATCATCATTCTCAGGGTCATAATTGCAGTTTTTATAGATTTTCAAAAGTTGAAAGTGGATAATACCCCTAAAGTTGGTTTAGTTCTGTGATAAATTCTTTCAGGTGAGTTCACATAGTGCATACAAACATGCAATATGGTAACACATCACTGTAAAATATCGTGAAATATGAGATATTATTTGGGGAGAAGTGACGATTTAGATAAGAATTTCTATGAAGTTCATTCTACAAACCTCACATTTTAAGCCTTCTATCAAATGCAGAAATGCCACACCAGTTCATTAATATTGCTAGTACATTCCAATAGCATTGGCCAGTGACCCAGAGGACACTAGAGTGACATCTATGTACGGTACAACTATATCTAACATACTGTAAGTGATGGATTTTCTGAGATAGAGCTTGCATCGGATACATAATCACATATTTGAGGACAGATACTTCGTTGATATAGCAGCAATGATCAGCATTGCTTTGATTCTCACTGCGTTACATCATACCGTTTAATAACTCTACTCAACAATCCATCCTACTATGGTAGATGACTGATGGCTTATCGATGTGAAACTACAGCACCCTCTAGTGGCAAACAGTCAAACCTTTATAGATACGAGGTGATATGCAAAAGCGTTTCACTGTTAATTAATGCATCAAATAGTGTCTACATGTGCCATCACAGTGTACTGCACAATAAACGTTGCACCAAATTAAAGAGTTCATCGCACATCTTATATTCATGAGTAAACACCACGTCATGACATTCACGAGGAGCGCGCATAGTTGTAATTCTCCAAATCGGCGAGCAATTGCCTTTGAAAGCCATTCTCATCTCTGGGATAGGCATCAGTAGGTAGAAGAAGGGTAGAAAAAGTATCGGGGAAGGTGGCAGGGAAGCAAGATACTAAACGTTAGGGGGACTAGGCAGGGATAACAGAAGGAAAACAAAGTATTATAACGGTATAACGATTATATGGTAGGGGAGTGGATAGATGGCATAGATGGTAGGGAGGTAGTGCAGTAATACTGTTCACAGCAAGCTAGACAGGGAGTATAATAGAACGATAAATGCACTCAAAGTGTTAGGGTGTACTAGGCAGGAAAAAAGACATGGCACTAAAAGTGTAGTTGGAGTAGAAGGAAAAGGCAGAGAACCAAGTAAGAATTCAATGTAGATAACTAAATATGAATATAATATAACTCTATGTAGACAGCATTCATTATATAGATATACCAAGTAAGAATTCAATGTAGATAACTAAATATGAATATAATATAACTCTATGTAGACAGCATTCATTATATAGATAACTACATTTTGTAACTCTATGTAAATAGAGGCTATGCTTGGTAATTGTGAAGCTTTATATAAGTGTGAAGCTGGAAAATGAAAGAGAAGTGGGCTTGGAGGCTAACCAGTGTTTTCAGGGCTGGAGAAATATACTGGTCAGACAGCCCAAGCAGGCCGAGGAATGTGCTGGGTAGGCTGGCCAAGGAGACTGGTGCATAAGGGGCATTTTTTCATCGGGAGGCACTGGAGGGCCTTACATTTTTGTTGGGGGGGCACAATATATAACTTTTCTTTGTATTATACTGTTCTAACGGCATTGTTTTTAATTCAATTTTTTTTTATCAAGCATGAATTTTCAGTGGGGGGGCACCTGGGGGGGCACAGAAAATTTTCCCCCAGGCCCCCCTCGTAGCTACGCCCCTGCAGGTTAGCCATGGAGACTGGCTGGGGCATATACTGGGCAGGCTAGCCATGGAGACTGGGGCATATACTGGACAGTCTGGCCAAGGAGACTGGGGCATATACTGGGGAGGCTGACCAAGGAGACTGGGGCATATACTGGACAGGCTTGCTAGCCATGGAGACTGGGGCCTATACTAGACAGTCTGGCCAAGGAGACTGGGGCATATACTGGGCAGGCTAGCCATGGAGACTGGGGCATATACTGGACAGTCTGATAGGGTCTATGTCTCCCTGGGTACTGCCGGAACGTACCCTGGATATGGTCCGGTATACCGGAACGTACTCTGGTAACTATCTAATATGCCGGACCGTAACTCGCCTACTACACTAACGAGTCTAGGGAGTCGCCTACGCCTACTCCCTAACCCTACACCTAACCCTAACCATATCAGATAGTTACCAGGGTACGTTCCGGTATACCGGACCGTACCCAGGGTACGTTCCGGCAGTACCCAGGGAGACATAGACCTTATCTGCTATACTGGGCAGGCTAGCCATGGAGACTGGTGCATATACTGACTGGACAGGATAGCCAATGAGACTGGTCATATACTGGGCAAGCTAGCCATGGAGACTGGTGCATATGCTGACTCGACAGGCTGGCCAAGGAGACTGGGACATATACTGAGCAGGCTGGCCTAGGAGGTCTACAAGTCAGAGACGTGTTTTGGGCAAGGGGGATAGTCAATCGAGATGAGATGTATGCTAGGCAGGAAGCTTCTTCCCGGCTCACTCACACCTGAGTATCCTTCTGCATATGGAATATGTCCATCTGGTTGAGAATGAAGGTGACCGTGTGCTCGCGAATTGTCCCGATGTGTTCGCGCAGACTGTGCACTTCTTCATTAGCAGCGCTCAGCTGAGCTCTGAGCGTGCTGTTCTCTCCACACAGCTTGGCACGATGCTGCTGGGACAGAAAAAAATAGACACCAAGTAAGAACTTTGGTTTCACGGCGCCCCGCTGTCATCGCACAATGTTGTGTCAAGCAGCTGTCGGTTGCGCATCACACAGTCATACAACCCCGCAACAATGTGCAACAACACGCAGCATCGCGCAATAAAGGAGCACATGTGTTGCATTTGGCAACCATTGGATGCATCACGCAGTTGCTAGTTAATGATGTCATTTACATGGTGTTGTCACATTGTTATGGGCTATCTTGCCCAACCATAACCTCCCCCTGCCCCCCATGCCCCTCTCCATGACCTACCATGGTACACAACATACAAGTTACGTATTCAGTCGCAAGTACAGTCATATATGTTATATATATGTGTTGTATATATGTTATGTGTTGTATATATGTTATGTGTTGTATATATGTTATGTGTTGTATATTGTATATTGTAGCTATGTATTGTATGTTGCAAAATTATATATGTTATGTGTTGTATATTGTATATTGTATATTGTAGCTATGTGTTGTATGTTGCAAAATTATAGGTTGCACATCAGATGAGTCATGAGTTGGAGCAAATACCTCCCAAATGCATGTTGTATCACGCGTAAGCAGTTTTGGCTGCATTGAGTAACCGTGGTTAAATTACATAAACACGGGTTGTATTGTATACTCATGATTGCATTACAAACCTACGAGTTACATTGTACTATAACTTCGTGTAGTTTACAAGCAAAGGTGGGTGCATGTCATCGTAGAATAATGCGCTGCACGAGAATACTTTCATCTTAGCATCCTTTTAGCCACTTTCGTCACTTGCCACGTCATCCCCAACGTCAGCTTTTCAGCATGGGCGAATTTGCAGGCATGTTTCTGTCAAGTTCTAGGTACGTATAACCGTTTTATACCGGTCGTTTAACACGCGTCCGTCGCACCCACGCACGCATGCACACATACGCGCGTGCTCGAGTTTACAACACCTTACTTCATGCTTTGTCTCCATAGTTGTCAGTTAGCACGATGAAACTAAACTACCCCTGTGCCAACAATTGGCTACATGAATATACCACAATATAAGACATAACGTGTACTGCATGTACAATCTGTCGATGCATTCGATTACGAGAGGCAGAGACAGTATGGCATCCCTATTCGTATCACATTCTCGGCCAACCATACATGCTGGGATGCAACAGACTTGCACCCAATATGCCAACAGCTGCGAACATAATATAACTATAAAGAAAAAAGAAAAAACACAAAGGAACATGTACCATGTATATACCTCCTCAACCTCAGCCAGTCGTTGCAAAAGTGCATCGTGGCTGTCGTCACCGTAACACAGGGCGCTCTCGTGGTCACTGCTAGGTCTACAGACGTCACCGTCTTTGTGGTTCTCGCTATGCTGTTCGTACGCAGGCGTTCCACGCTGTTGCGTATCCTGCACGAGAATTATAATTATAATCATAATTGGCCTGTTAGCTTGTCCTACGAGATAAGCTTATCCCTATGTTTCAGTCTCAGGTGAAGCAAAGGTTGTGGAGCAACCCTACCTGGAAATCTGTTATTGAAGGTCTAAGAAAGTGGTCCGTCAGAAG